TACTTGGTGAACTTCAGCTGCACGAGGGGTTCCCCCTTGAGTTAAGGGACTTGGAGGAATTTTGGTGGGACCAAAAACCAAAGCTTGGAATATTTTGAAAGCTTCAAAAGCTCAAAGCGTTTTGCTGGTATAGGGGTACCATGCGCGCAATAAGGTACGCGCTCTCACACTGTCTATAGGGTGCGGGATAGTAGGAACCACAGGTACCCTGTCTCACAAATACAATACAAGTACATTGTATTCAGCCAGCAAGTAATTGATTCAAAGTACATTTGTATTGTATCACAATTTGGTACAATACAAATACAGTATTCAACCTATTCAGTTTATTTTCTCCCTACTGCTTTAAATTGCGATGGGGATGGATTATAACACTATTGTTGCATTTTTTGATGTTTTTTCACATTTTAATTGTTTTTTTAATGTTTTTTTCTCTTTTTTTCATTTTCATTTCAACTTTTATTTCTAAATTTAGAAATAAGCCACACTCTTATTGTTTTTGGCATAAATTTCCTGCAAGCAAGACAGGAGGGAAGTCTCACCCACACACAGATAATAACTCTACTATTTCATAATATTATTAGCTATTTTATCCCCTCTGAGCCTTTTACTCACTTACTGAGCAGTTCCACACTGCAAGGGATTCCTTCCGGTCAATGAGGTACCACAACCTCATTAGCCAGAAGAGATTCCTTCTGGTTGATGAGATATACAACAACCCCATTTACCAGAAGGAAATCCTTCTGGTCAGTCAACCTCTTTGAACAGAAGGAATCCCTTCTGTTTGATGAGGTTGAGGTATCCATTGGTGACAAGCCTGCCGGTAACAAACCTGCCACCGGAAAACCCAGAGACAAGCCTGCTGATGCTGCCGACGGAAAACCTGTTGGTGACAAGGCCGTCACTGAGAAGCCCGCTGATGTGAAGCCTGCTGAAGGGAACCCACCTGCTGGTGAGAAGCCAGCTGACAAAAAACCGGCAGGTGACAAGCCCGCCGCTGTGAAGCCTGCCAAAGGGAACCCACTGGCCAGTGAGAAGCCTGAGCCTGCCAACAAAAAACCGGCAGGTGACAAGCCTGCTGACGCAAACACCGTTGGTGAGAAACCAGAGGACAACGGGGCCGGAAACCCCACAGGACAGGCTTAATTGGCCAATGACCACTCTGCCTAATCAGATTGCCACTGGTATCAACCCCCACACGCACTGGCTCTGACTTCTGATCTCTGTCTCTTTCTTTCCTCTCAACCCTAGACACTACCTTTTTGCGCATTCTTGTACCCGTTGTTCTTGCTCCTGACCATTCCTTGCTTACGTGAGCAAAACATCCAGGGATGTTTTGCTCACGTAAGCAAAGGCCTGGATGTTTTACTCACGTAAGCAAAGGCAGGAACCTTACCGATATCGAATCGGTAAGGTTCAGAGCTTGTTGAGGGGCGGGTGAAAGGCCCTGCCCCTTGGTTAAGCTACCCGCCAGTCCAGAACCAACCTATGTTGGTTCTTGGCTGGCATGCAATCCCACCCGCCCCTCCTGGAGGGGCGGGTTCTTGTGCACACCCCTTGGAAGGCTGTTTCCTCAAAAGAACAGGCTTCTGAAGGGTGTGCAATCAGACCCACCCCTCCAGGAGGGGCCGGTTCAATCACACACCCCTTTTAGAGGGGAAGGGAGAGTGCGATTATCAACGCACTTTTGCCATAGATGGTTTTTTGGGTCTGTGGGGAATGGTGGTTGTTTTTTGGGTAGTTGTTGGGGGATTACTCTGGGTAAGAGTAGATGAGACTGGGTTCAAGGGGGTATTGCTAGGGTTTGGGTTGTCTGCAGCTGGATTTTCTGCGTTTTCATTTGCTAGATTTGCATTTTTTTGCTTCATCTGCTCTGCAGTGGCTTGGAGATTATTATTAGGGTTGCTAGACATTGTAATAGTCTGTGTATTTGTTTAAAATAATTAACTCAAGAGAAAATCAAGGATAATCTTGGAGGTGATAGAAAGGATTATACTCATCCGTAGAAGGTTAACTGAAGGGGAGCAAGAAGGATAGTGAGAGATTCCTGAGAGGGAGAAGGAGCTGGCAAGTGAGTTGAGCTTAGTTCATCAAGACCTAAGACCTGGCGGGTAAGACGGCCATGTAGCCAGACTCTACCTCTCATCCGGTAAGTCCGGACAGGGGGCGTGATAGTACTGCATGGGCAGCCTGGCCATGTGGCCTAAATTATTAATGAAGGTAGCACCGTGGAACACACGTATCTAAGCTGCTCTTTGGAAAGCTACCATACTCCAAATCTTGTCATGGATTTGGAGTGTTGTGTATAGTTTAGAAGATAGAGCAGTGTGGCTTGTACTGTCTCCAAGCCCACGCGCCGCATAGTCATGCTGTGCACTGTTGATAGGCATGCCTGACTACAATTGAGCCCTGTACTCAAGCCCCCATGCGTTCTAGGTATGCATACCTGCCTTGGATACATGCATAACGCCCACCTGGGTTACCAGTATCCAAGAAATGGGCCACATTGCACATGCCAACAAAGCCCCCACAAGTGTAATAAAATTATAAACAAGCTATAATATTCATGAAAACACTACTGTAACCAAGAATATTCTATATTCCAATTGGTAACACATGTAGCAAGCCTCAGAAATCACCTCTTGAATATTCTGTGGCCCATTTCCAAGGAAATAGCTCCACATAACAAACTACCCCCTACCCACAGGCTCCCATGGGACATTCTTGGTTCAAATAATTCGCTGCATGATCCCTTGGAGCTTCTAGAATATTATCCCCATGGTTTCAGCCCTTGTCACATCACCAGGTGGGCTAAAATGGGCCCAAAAGTGCTCTCAAGTCCTACTAAGCTCCCCTGGGCAACCCCTAAGCCTTGCCACAGGTATTTCAAGGGCTACTTCTGACCGCCCATACAATAATCCCCCAGGTTTAGAATACCTTATAGAAATTGACTTACCATTTCTATTATTACTGTTATCGAGCCTCAAAATTCCCCAAGAAACTCCACAGTTATATCACCCAGCACCCAAATTCAACCTTTCTGAGCGCTCCCAACTGTCCATTTTCCACTCTGAAGATCCTCAAGACCATACAGGATTATTACTAGTAAGTTATTATAACCCTTTTCTTGAGATTTTCCCCTTAAATTCTTCCTGGGATTTAAACCACACCTGTTCACAGGCCCCAGTGTTCCAGGTACCTCAATCTTCTGCTTTTGCATGATACCTTAGAGGGATTAAACCACCCCTGATTTATCAATCAGGCCCCTCTGGTTTTATTTATATATTGATTTTATTAATCTAAATTGGCCACTTTTTCTTATAATTAAGCCATAAATTCCCCATTTTATTGGAATTTATTCCTTTTACATTAAAACCAAAATGCATAAGCTTTGTGCTTACTTTTACACCACGTTTAGCTAGAAGATATTACATCTTGGCATCACGTAGGCTAACATGAAGAGAGGGAAGATGAAGAACGTGATCAGCACTTCCAGATGATGATTGATGAAGCAAACTGGTGATGGTATGCATCTTTGATTGTCTGTTTAAATGAACCAATACTAATTAAACATACTTTGACTTGATAGGAAGTAAATACCTCCCTTATCTGTGGTCTTTTTGATTCCAGTCTGAGATCTCTGCACTTTTTGTCATTTCAAACTACTCAAACAAGAAGATTAAACCTACTACAATGAATCAGGATTACTTCTTCATATAATCATGAAATCTATTGTTTCCATTTTATCCATTGGGATGCTCATTAGAAACAATCCATTTTTGAAAAGAACAAACATAGCAATGATATATATGTAGTTTTGAATTTCAAAAAGGAAGGGGCTTAGTTCGGATGACTCTGATTTTAGTTGATGAGGAAGTGACCACAAGGGATAAAACTGGAACAAATTTTTCTAATCAAAACTTATCAAAGCATTGTCAAGATCTTGCAAAGGAAAAAAAAAGGAAAAAACTAGGGATTTTGATTTGGCGGATTCAAATGAGAATTATGGTCCCCCATACAGTATACATCTTAGTCCTATCTTTACCTATGTTTGCAGGTATTGAATAAATCGCTCCAGACTTTGAGTCCCGTGCTGCACTTGCTGTCTTTTGATTGATTTGAAGTGAGATGCCTGCACGCATATTTGCCTTTGCTTCGCCTGGTGGTAAAGTACAATGTTCATAATCTTTTGCTCGCCAGACCATCTTGACCACTCCGTTCTGCTTTGAGAAATCGATTCCGCACCGGTAATTAGGGAATGCAAAAGAGCCTCCGGAAACATTATCCGCATTACATCCCGAGCCTAATATTTTAAGCCTCTCCACATATGCCAAGGTAATCGTTAATAATCCGAGCGGTGATCTCAAAATGTTGACGATGCAAGTTGCGCTTTAAGCAAGTCGGAAGTTTCCCTTGACAACTGCTTGCAATCTGCGATTCAAGGACAAATCTGAAAAGCCCCATTAGCTCTACTGTAGACTACGTAGTATGTGGAAAGGTTTATGATCTGGTTGCCAGTTGGGATGCGACTTACCTATGGGATTCTTGAATCTATGTAATCAGTGCGAATATTTGTGAGTCGGCCGAATGTGTAGAGTACCGGGGAGTAGTACTACGGCCCCACGGGGTGGGCATTAAAGCCTGTCAGGCTTACTTCAGCCATCAGCCGATCTGGGTGGGGGTAGCTTCCAGCTGAATGAGATGGGAGAGCCCATCGCGACCTTTGGTTGTTACCCTCCACCCTTTCATCAAATCAACAAACTCAACATCTTCAGCGAGCCGATTTTCCTTTTTTTGGACCGATACGATAAGGCCAACGACATCTTAAATATCTTGAAACTCTGGTCAGTTCAGTGAACCTTTAGCTATGTATCCTCTTCTCAAACAGCCAGACTGATATCCTCATCTTATAAAATATTCGACACTCCAGGCGTGATTGGCTATCGTATTACAAGGATCGACTATCGAGGATGGCCAAACTGATCAAAACAAACTCACTCAGTATCTATCAGCACTCTACACCAAACACTACAAGATGCAGTGGGTACCCGATTCTTATATTGCAGTTGATTTTTGAACACTTTATGATGACTAACAGGTCCTGCGGGTTTTGAAATAAATCACATCTGATAGTTAACCGAAAACTTAGAGAAGAGTGTCGACCAAGGGCTTGTCTCATCGGGTGCATTGCATTCATCTGCAGATTCATTCTATGCTGGACCTCGAGATCCTCGCTCAAATAGCCCTTTTACCATCGTTTACCTGCCATCTCTCCGCTCACTTCGCCCCCATCTTACCGGAATTAGCGTCGAGATGGATTTTATCTTTGGAATTTGAAGAAGGCGGTTAATATTCAGATCAAGTTTGCTCGTACTGGCCAGCTCAACCTGACCAGAATGAATTGCTTCATTCCGAGCAAAGCCATCCATCATCTGCAAAGGAAAACATCAAATCTAACCTCCGTTCGATCATCTTCGTCAATCCCACCTGGCGAATTTGAATTCGGTGCATAGCACACTCCTATCAAGCCTTCTCTCAGCATTCATTCTTGGGTTCGGTAACTACCCGGTCTCACGCAAGACCGTGCCGAAGGCCATTCTGAATATGGGTACATTCCTAGGCTGGTCCGAAAGACGAGTTTTGATGAAATTTTGGCTCAGCAGCATCATCAAAACCCAAACGGGGCACACACACCGATTCGGGAGATCGGCCACCGGCTCGCTTGGATAATCTTAGCGGTTCAAGCAACGAGTCCTTGGTTCGTCCTAACACCGCTACTGATTCACGGGAGGGTCAGTATCGGGCGGGCCTCGATGGTTCAGGGGGTGAAAAGATGGCTGTTCAGACCACCCCACCCAGTTCTTCGATGTCGACAGCCAAGCCGGGGACGACAGAGGGGGCGGGGCCGTCGCAGCCGACGCCAAGCACGACGATGCCGATGACAACGAGCATGGCTGGGCCGCCGGAGGCTGAATCGACGATCCAGCGGCTCTCCGAACACCGGAATGTCCGCGGAGTGATCATCCTCAATCGCGACGGCGTCGTCATACGCTCCTCCGGCCCAGTCTTCCAGGGCAGTGACGGCGTCATCGTGCTTCGTAGGTACGCTTCAGAAGCCAGTAGAATCGTCGACGCCGTCGGGAGCTCCGTCGATCGCATGGAACTCGACGTTTGTCCCACCCCCTCTTCCCCTCTTCATTTCACTTTTTTTTCGATCTCTCTCTGAATCCTTTGCACCTTATCTGACTTTTTTTTAACTCTTTCTCCAGGATCAATTGAGGTTTCTCAGAATCAGGACTCAACAGCACGAATTGCTAATCACCCCTGGTTCGTGTCTCCCGATTAATCCCACATCGTCGAGAGGTTCATACTGAGAATTGGTACCCTGCTTTCAAACGGCCGAACAGACTCCAAATTTACCCTGGTCGTCATTCAAGACCCGACGAAATGAATTATTCCGTTATTTCCTCTTGAATAGCTCGATTCTTTATATTCCCAGAAAAGTGAGTTCATCTGCTCTCTCTTTTTCCATCATTCTTTTTCTTGTTTTTGAAGAGAAGGAATGTGAATGCTAACAGATGGGTGGGATCAGTCCTACCTTTTATTTGTAGTCGAACAAGACTGCCAAGATAAACGCCGGAAAATTCACACACACGCAGAGACATTGAGATGCGAAGGGCAGTGATCTCAGCGACGGTCGTTTTGAGGAGGGAATTTGTCGACTGGTATTGATGAGGCCCACACAAAACCACCTGATCGCCTGCTCACCTCTTTGACGGCTTCCATGTGATTGAGCGTCTCTTCCCGTCTTCGTGGAATAAATCGGTTCTTGTGTATATAGATGACATGCATGTATTCTAAGAACCTGAAAATTAAATCCAATTAAGTGCATTTCTTTTGGATTTCTATGTGTGCCAGGCTCCTGTTAGTCTAACGTCACTACGGATGAAAGTCAAGGAGAGCCGAATTTTGAGAATGTTACCACTGAATAAGAAGTTCATCGACAGTTTACTCAGGGCCGCCCAATGTTTCTCAGGATTCTGTAATCTCGAGCATAGCTTTCCTACGAGGAGGAAGATTCTGAAAAGTGATGCGTCGGTTGTCGTATGGTCGGAGAGAGGAAGACACGAAAGGCTTTAACTCGGGGAAACTGTAGGACTATTCTGTGGGAGTTTTTCCCGTTTTCAAAACTATCTCTCAGCAGCAATCTTACAGCCGAGTCAAGCAAGCCCTTCTTCTACAAGCAGACAGTTTGAAAACAGGAAACGGCGGACACATACACGGCGAAGGAACATGTAAGTGGCCGCGGTTTCTTGGCTCCGCACGTATGACATGTAGGCTGCCTTTGTCAGACTGAGTCTGTTTACATGACCAGCAATTACACACTGGAAGTGCTGAGCCCACGAGCCCTGCTGCCACTGCTGCTGCTGCTGCTGCTGCTGGAGGCTCAGCAGCCACCGAAGGTTTATAAAAGGCCGATGGTTCCCCCCTCGACCAGTCTTTCCCCCAACTCCAGGACCTGCCAGGCGCATCCACCTTTCCCATCTTCTCCTCACCTTCTTCTTACTCCACCCAACAACAACAACAACAACCTTAAACTACTTGCTTCGATAATCATTAATCATGGACTATATACCTGATAACAACGCGTTAGATTCTCCGGTAGAATTTTCTGCTGGCCCGTTCACTCCCCCAGGAACGCCACCCCCTCTTCCGGGTGTCTCCTTTACCCCCCCAGGAACTCCTCCATCTCTTGCTGATGGCTCCTCCACCCCCCAAGGACCTCCTCCACGTCTTGCTACTGGCTCCTTCACTCCCCCGGGAACTCCTCCTCCTCTTCCTGAAGTCTCCTTCACTCCCCCAGGAACTCCTCCTCCTCCTCCTCCTTCCAACCCTGTCCCCATTCCCACCCCGGAAGTGATTGAGATCTCTGATGATGATGACGAGCCGATGGAGCAGGATCCAGTTGAGGAATCGTTGCGGCAACTCCGCGACCTCATCGAAAACTGCTCGGAGCAAATTCGAGTGGCTGTTTCGACTCTGGCTACTCCAGAAAGAGTAACAATGCGCGTTTTTTTCCGCAAGATGCTGAAATATCTCCTCGAACTCGCCGAATACCCGCAGCGCGACAGACTTGATGCTAGAGAGAACTCTTATCTCTGCCGCGATATTCCTCAAATTCGGCTTATCTTGCGAGCGACCGAGGAATTCAATGCGCAACTCTTGGCCACTCTGATCAACCACTGGATCTCTGTTATCAACAACTATTCCAATGCTCGCAGATCCCAGAGAGTTCAAGACCTGTTGGACCGTATGAAGAACCCGCCCGCCCGCTCGGCTCGGCGTGCCCCCTCAGAATGCCCGATCTGTACGGAAAACCTCTCGGACAACAGACGCAGCAATGTTCGAGCACCTTGCCACCTTACCCATGTCTTCCATCGAAACTGCCTTCAAGTAAGCAAGCCCTTTATATTTCTTTTTCTTTTCCTTTTAACACTCATTGCTGATTCCAATGATCTATTCTAGGAATGGTTGCAAGGCGAACTCAACTGTCCAATGTGCAGAGCCCCATTTGCTCTTCCTTGTAGAGACGAATGGCAAAGCTCAGAAAGGTTGGGCAGATACGAAAGAACTCGTCGTTTCTTGGGGTCGATTTGTATGGGCTTCTGAGTCCCTCCCCCTATGCCCCTATGCTTCTCTCCCCCTATGCAATCACAAATCTCATCTCATCTCATGTTTAAATGTCTCCCTTGACTTTCCTGAGCTCCCCCTGTCGGGGCTCTAAGTGCAAAGTCCCCATCAGGTTCAAGTCCTTTCAAAACATGTAAGTTGAGAAAAAGTCACGCTTTTGGCTTGAGTCACTTCCTTGAGTATACACCCCAATTTGTTCTTCGATCAAACACTCAGATGCCGTGATAAGATCATGCAATGAAAGATCACTAGACAATGCCATCCTGCTGCGCTATGTGTCCCTTGTTGAGCGATCCCATATCAGTAGATTCTCAAACTTTGCCATCAGCCTTCTCAAACAACCGCAGCTTTCTGACAGTGACGAGTATTGGCCTACATAAAGTTGACATACTTATACATTTTTATCTTGCGCAAACATGAATAGCATTTTATTGTAATACTTAGTTTGGAGGCTCTTGGTTTATGGCCTCTTCCAATGCCCACAAAAACAAAGAATAATTGTAGGGCCTTGATCAGAACAGTGTGTGACAGATTGACTAACAATTCAACACAACTGATCCTATTCACAATATTTGTCAAGACAAACTTGTGAGTAAAGTGAAAGGCAATTGTGCAAATGACTGATAGCCACTCTTGACCATTATTGATAAAGAATGTAACTATCAGAAACTTTGTCCCTAACTTTTTGTGGAGAAACAAAACTGTCGACGATTCATCTAAGGGTAACGGTGTTAGCATCCATTGCCCCTCATAGCTATCTATTCCTGCCCATCTAGTGCATGTGTAAGACTCTGTCAGGTATTGAGTGTCTGGGAAGGCATCACTTCACGGTTCACCGGCGTCACTAGTTTCACGATTTCAACATCTGCTTTCGAAGGCTTCCTCTGCTGATGTGTGTGCATCACATGATAGCCATGTCAGAACAGCTTCATCTGTAGTTTCGCGATCGTGAGCGCGTCGCGTTGGGTCAGATTGTTGGTTTGGGGCTCTGTCAGGTAACCTCAATATCATCATCGGCTTCCGGTGAGCTTCAAGTATGAGCATTGAGGACCATGCCGGACGGGTTTATCTCTGGCTTGTTCATCGCGAGCGTGTTGCGTCAAGATCTATCATTGCACTTGCGATGGTTCTGGGGGTTTGACGTGCAAAGCTATCTGTTTTTCAGCACACTCCCCGCAACCTTATAAGTACGTGATCTTAAGCTATCTGAGCGGATCCGTTGGAACGCAGGTCTAGCTAAGTTCAATTTTTGAAGACATGTTTTCCTGTACTAATCTGCGGGAATGGTTACATATTGTTATTTGTTAATAAATTTTGCTACAAAGAAGGAAAGTGTATGGAAGTCTTTCGCCAAAACATGCAAAATCGCTTGTAGCATTGATGTCTCCACAATGAAGCAGTGCTCATATCATCGTGGAGGACACGTCAGCTAGCCCCCTGCAGGAAAATAGAAAGTGGATACAGGTGTGTTTCCGACCTTCTGATGAGGTTTCAAGCTCACTTCCCAAGACCAACTTATTCACCGGGAATCCACCCATCAACATATTCTATATAATTGTGATCATTCTAGACAAGTAAACTGAGATCTGTGTGTGCAAATACTTATTTCATTTCATCCGTCCAGGGCAAACACATTTACTATTTAGTAGAGTAGGATTCAATCCAGAAATGTGCTTATCCACCCTTTGCCTTTTGAAGCTTTTCCTATATTTGGGCTTGGTTGGGAAGAGTGCCTGTTTCATCACAATCGAAGATTTGATGGACTGCAGCAATGTGCAGTTCAACATTTGGAGGGGCGCAAGAGAGGGTGCGTATGAAGTGTCAGCTTGCTACTATGGCAGAGACAACCTGTCATAGCAAAATAAAAATAAAATTACATAAAAAATCTAAGAATAAAGTAAAAATATTACATAAGTAAAAGAAACTAATTTACTTATGTAAACAATAATAAAAACACTTAAAATATATAAATAACTTAGAAAGAATAAAGAAAACCTTAATTATTATTACAAATTCTGAATCTACGTACAATTTAACCTAGGGTACCTCAGCCAAAGGTACCCCTAATTGTAACCCCTTCATCCTGTAATACTCACTTAAAGAATTAACAGGTACCCATGGATCGCGGGCACCTGAATAATTATGCATTGTACATAACAATATGCATATACTCCAAATCTTGTCTCAGATTTGGAGTGTTGTGTATAGTTTAGAAGATAGACCAGCGTGGCGTGTACTATCTCCAAGCCCGCGTGCCGCGTAGTCATGCTGCGCACTGTTGACAGGCGCGCCTGACTACAATTGAGCCCTAGGCTTAAGCCCCCGCGCATGCTAGGTACGCATACCCGCCTTGGATACATGCATAACCCCCTCTGGGTTACCAGTATCCAAGGAAATGGGCCACAAAGCCCCAGAAACTCACTGTGCACGTGTCAACAAAGCCCCCACACGTGTAATAAAAATATAAACAAGCTAGAATATTCATGAATACACTACAGTAACTCTGAATATTCCATCTTCCAGTTTGTAGCACGTGTAACAAGCCCCAGAAACCAGTTCTGGCATATTCTGTGGCCCATTTCCTTGGAAATGACACCACGTAGCAGACTAGCCCTTGCCCACAGGTTCCCAAGGTATATTCTTGGTTCAAATAAATTCGTGCATGACCCCTTGGAGCTTCTAGAATATTATCCCCAAGGTTTCAGCCCTTGTTGCGTCACTAAGTGGGCTAAAATGGGCCAAAAAGCGCTCCCAAGTCCTACTAGGCTCCCCTGAGCAACCCCTGAGGCCTTCCACAGGTATTTAAAGGGCCTTCTGACCGCCCAAATAATGATCCCCCAGCTTTACAATATCAGATAGAAACATACTTACCATTTACAAGTCCCCTACACTTGTAATTAGCCTAGTTACTACTATTATTGCTGTTATTAAAGCCTCAAAATTCCTCAAGAAACACAACAGTTATCACCCAGCACCCAAAATCAACCTTTCTGAGCACTCCCAACTGTCCAGTTTCAACTTTGAAGATCCTCAAGACCCCATAGGATTATTACTAGTAAGTAATAACCCTTTTCTTGAGATTTTCCCCTTAAATTCTTCCTGGGATTTAAACCACACCTGTTCACAGGCCCCAGTGTTCCAGGTACCTAAATCCTATGCTTTTGCACGATACCTTAGAGGGATTAAACCACCCCTGATTCATCAGGCCCCTCTGGTTTTATTTATATTAATTTTATTAATATAAATTGGCCATTTTTTCCTATTAATTAAACCCATAAATTCCTTTGTTTTATTGGAATTTACTCCTTAAAAATTAAAACCAAAAATATATAAGCTTTTTGTTTACTCTTGCACCACGTGTAGCTAGAAGATTTTACATCTTGGCATCACGTAGGCTGACATGAAGCATGACTCTCACATCAATGCTTAAGATGGGCTTTCACCAACTGATGCTGTGAAAGTAAATTATAAATATTATGTATCCAATCTGTCCAGATGCCTCAAACGCCCTCAATCAAGCCATGAAAACAGGCGACAATATGAAGGAACTTGGTCAAAGTAAGAATGGAGCTAACTTGTTGTCATTTCTTGGAGGCACTCCTCATAACTGACAAGAAAATTTCAGACATATCTGCAGGGTGCTCCATGATATTTAAGAGGCAAGAGGATCAGGAAAAATGGACCGCTTGCATAGGTACGAAAAAACTCATTATTCAATCATGTGTGGGTTTTCAAAAAAAATTTCCTGACATTCCTGATTGAAAATTTGACAAGAGTAGAAGATCCAATAAGTAAGTTCCCAAAGCATACCAGTGACCACATGAATTTGCCATTCTCTTGTCTACCTCAAGTTTGACAGAGACTAATTGTTTGTATTTTTTAATTAGCACTGAAGGAAAGCCTTTCAAATCACTTTGGGAAGCTATTATATTCATGTCTTGTTGATACCACAGGTATTTTCAAAAATAAAGAGAAAGAAGTAGAAATACAGAGCATAATTTTGTCAATTCAGGGTAATATTGATCACATTATTTCAAACAAATTCCATGAGAATATACACAGCAAGACAGGTTCACATGAAGTGTTGGAATTCCGTGTCTCCTTCTTTCCTCTCTATCATATCAATGTCACTCTTTTCCCACCTGTCACTCATTTTCTGGTTCCAGTTGAATATTCATTCCTTTTCACCTTCTGTCCCACAACTCAGCCCCCACTTGTATGTAGATAAAACAGTCATACTATGAGTTAGAAAATGAAAGTCATCTGTTCTTCTGCGCACTGATCCCTGGAGTCTCTACAAGATACAACTCCTTGTAGCGTGTGAGCTTTTCCTCCACGCAAGCTAGCAGCACTTAGCCCTATTTTGGGCTCTCAGACCTTTTTGTTTGTTCCTCAGAAGTTTTTTCTTGAGGCTTTTTCATCTCCCGGTCTCTCCCCGCTCTCATCAAAATCTCTTAGTTTCTTCATGAAGTGAAGCTGCCAGAAAATGATGTTCTCCCAACTCAAGAGCAGAGCAATGAGGCTTCTCATATATATGAAATCACAAAGAGTTTGAAAAATCTGTGGGACATGGTGAAAAAAGAAGAAATACTGCCAAGAGATCATCAAAAGCTTCAAAAAATTTTTCAAAAATTTTCTATTTGAATGATGTTGTAGTTGAATTCCTGATTGCTTCAGGCAAGTACAACATGGTAATTGATCCAGAATTCCTTTCCAAAATAGACTCAATGGATGAAGAGAAATGGGGAAACATATTCTCATATTATATCTGGGGAAAATTCCCTCAAAGGGTTGGAATGACTAGCCTTTATTTAAACTTTGACTTCAGTCTCAGCTTCAAGGAAAGTCCATTCATTCAGGACCTTCATCATTTACTGAAATATAAGTCAAAAATAACAATTTGCTTTCCTGAAATTTTGATTATGGGGGTTTTTGTTTGAGATCTGATTCATATTTTGTAACTATCCAATTTTCATTTC